ATCCTCTATATTTAAAAAGATCACGGTCTTAATCCAGGATTTCGTAGGAATAGAATCCAACTACTTTAACTATAACTCCGTAGGAATATGACTCAACTGGTCATACTATAATGGACATTGGAATATGATTCAATTGCTCAAAACATTATCCATGTGGGAACATGATTTTTGCAATCTACGCTCACATGTACCTGTAGATTTTTTTTTTTTTGGGGGGGGGGGGGGGCTAATGAAAATCAAGCACATATTCTTGTTTTCCAAAAAGAAAAAAATAAAAAAAGGCACATTCTTATTATATAAAACAGTTTTCTAACTCATATAATCGCGATACGTGTCAATCTATCAATAAAATACTGATACGTGTGAGAAAAAATTTAAATTTTTAAAAAATATTAAACTAAAAAAAATATATTTACATATACTAATTTATATGTCTATATCTAAAAAATTGCTTAACCAAAAAAAAGAAAACTAACAATTTAACAATGTTTGTTTTCCAATTTGTTTTGTGAATTTCTATTTTTTTAATTAATTATGTTTTGTTATTTGTTAACTATTTTTAATATTAACTAAGATAAAGATTTGATATATATATTTAGTATATTGATATAAAATTGTTATCACATATCCATTAAATGAAGTGTGTAAAATTAAAATCCAGATTATTATGATGAAATATATAATTAAATTGTATTGCAAAATGGAATGTGAAAGATTGAAATTTGGTTTTAAGAAATACTAAATTGTATCTAGAAAAAATGTGTGAGTTACTATTTAGAATTTAAATATCATCAAACAGATTAAGTGTGTAGAATTAAAATTCAGTTTATTGTGATAAAATATATAATTAAAATGTATAGCATAATGTAATGTGCAAGATTAAAATTTTGTTTAAAACAAAAAATATTAAATTAAATAATAAGAAAAATGTGTAAAATATTATTTATTATTCAAAATTCAAATATCAACGATAAAAAATCATATTTATATCTTATCCCGCATAAATAGGCGGGCCTTATCTAGTATTTTATAATTTAGGAACAAAGTGGAAGATTTTTTTTTATAAAGTATCGATTAAGAGGAAATTTTTTGATAAAATGGATTAAATCTTATTTATTTAATATAATAAGATAAGATGTAAAGACGATTTTTTTTTGTTTAAATAAATTTTACATTTAATTCAAAAAAAAAAATATTAAAGAATAAAAGTAAGATGTGCTATTAGATTTGTATAATTTTTGGAATTGCCCAAAATTAATACTAAAACAAAGTAGTTACAAAATAAAATTTCCAAAAAAAATTAGAAAATAGCCTTAAATAGAGGAAAAGGTTAAAAGTCAATATAAAAAAAAAAAAAAAAATCTTCTTCTTCTGGCATCCTCATCTGGTTCCTTAACAATTCGTAAGTTCACTGTAAATTTAATATTATTACAAAAATCATCATGAATTAATTACTCTCGCTTATTCTAGATCTATAGGAATCTAATTTGTTCAATTAAGATCCTAAATTCGATGATTTTGATAGGTTCTGTTGGAATCCTTCTGGGCTAATAATGGGTTCTAGAGATTTATTCAGCTGTCTGCCAAATGAGGTTCTGGGCAAAATCTTGTCATTGCTTTGGACAAATCGTGCAGCTTCCACATCGGTTCTGCTTGCGCTTGTAGACAACCTTGATTTGAATGACGCAAGTGGTGATCATCGCTACTTCTGTGATTTTGTTGACAGAACACTTGCTCTCTTGAGCAATTCCACCATAGTCAAAAGATTTTCTCTGAATTGTGAATTTAAGCATGACGATTCTCGGGTGAACAGTTGGATTCGCACTGTCCTGCAGCGCGGTTTCTTGGAACTTCACTTGGAGACCGCACTTATGCATTGTATAGACACTGAGTTCTTCACGAGCAACGCCTGGGTTGTCTTCCTCCTGGGGGAGTGTTTTTCCCAGCGCTTAAATCACTTTCTCTGGTTTCATTTGAGTTTACAGATGCTGACATGTATCAGGATTTCATCTCTGGCTGCCCTGTGCTTGAGGAATTGTTCCTACATTATGATAATGAGAACAGATCCCCTGCTTGGGATGGCGTCGTCTCGAGTCCTTCCATCAAACGACTGAACATCTATCACCATTTACCTCCTGAGTACCGACAGGTGTCTTACGAGGGTTGTTGGTTTCAGACACCCAATCTTGTGTATCTTGAATATTCGAGTTATGTCGCGGAAAAGTATGTGGTTGGTTTGGGTTCCCTTGTAGAAGCTAGACTCGATCTTCGATCCTGGGAGCGAGTTACAGATGAGGATGACGACGAGGATGGTGATACAGAGGATATTTTTGGCGATGTTACGGATTTGGTTGCAGGGATAAGCAATGTTAAAACCCTTCACTTATCTTCTGATTCTCTTGAGGTCAGTTTCACTACTTCTTCTTCTTCTTCTTCCATTACTTGTTTCAATTCCAAGTGCAAAGTCTCATTTTCTATAACTTTTTTGTTAAGGTGCTTCACTTGTGCTGCGATACAATGCCAGTGTTTCACAACCTCCTTACTTTATCTTTTGAGAGTGACAAAGAAATAGGTTGGGAAGTGGTTCCACTTCTCCTCAACAACTCTCCAAACCTAGAAACTTTAGTCATCAAGGTATATCATCAATTCCAATTCTATTTCTTTGCTAGATTATTATTGTACATGAATTTGCTTTTGCTTTCAGGGTCTTGTGCACCAAGTTACAGATATGTGCGGGGACGCCTGCCCTTGCATCCTTAAGAGGAGGAAGAAGAAGAAGATGGAAAAGGGAGTATGTTGTTTGTCGACTTGTCAAGTGAAAGTGCTAAGTATTCTAGGGTATCGAGGTACTTGTAAAGAGCTGAAACAGATGAGGCATTTCCTGGGAAATTTGAAATGTCTTGAAGCTGTCAATGTGGGTGTTAAAGTGAATCGCCGAGAAGACAACGATGTTGGTGATAGGTACCTGAGAATCACCGATGCTCTTATGAAGCTTCCCAAAATTTCGTCTAACTGTCGAATCCATTTCTTTAGTTGCTGCTAAACATTAGTATAAAACTGTAATATTGAATTAAATTTAGTATTATCCTAATTTATTAATTATAGCCGTCTTTTCTATGAATCACACAATTCATGTACCTGCAGGGTGAATATATTCATAAGAGTTTTGGTCTTTTTGGAATTACAGTTTTTAATTTTTTTTGTAATTTATGCATTCGTTTTTATTACAGACATTCATCTAATTTACTACTCAATTTCATTTTTCTTACCAGTAAATACATATTAAATTGAATATATAAGCAATTAGACATATTGATGGTGGACTACATTCCTGAAAACATCAAAAGAGTTCATCCATGGATTATGTGGCAATTGTGGAAAAATAAAAATCAGTATCTATTTGATGGAATACATTGTCAAGCAGATTATATTGTGAACAAAGCTGTTTATGATGCTAATGAGTGGTTTATGGCGCAGTCTTTTTTCTCATCTGAATGTCTACAAGAGACTCCACTATCTGCTCAGCATAGCATATTCTGGAAACCTCTATCTTATGGCCAAATCGAAATTTGCCTATTCAAACGTAAGCAAGACACTATCACAACACACTAGAATGTTGAGTATTATTCAGAGGATGCCGCAATGGAGTAGACGGGTCTTGAGGGAGACTATCTGATGCTTCATATGCCTGAAGTGTATATTTGGGTGATGTTAAACGTCACTAGTCAAAACGAACAATGTTAAAGAAAAAGTAAAAGCGCAATCTTAGTATAGATCATAAGCTTTGAATTCAATCCATTATGAAGTACAACAATTATCACTAACCAACGGATACTTCTACAAGTTGGACACTTACTACAACCTATGGACATAACTCTTCCCTAAGAACTAGCTTTCTGGGACATATCTCTAAGACGATCAGTACAAACAATTAGTCCAATCTTCTCCTTCTCCATAATAATGGTAAACAGATAGATGATCACGTAAAGCTACTACTTATCTACCAAGACTCGTGTACCTCGTGAGAACCGTTAGCCTCCGGGTATTGCCGGGCTTGACCTCCATAAATATTTTCCGTGTTTCCATAACTTGCAGCCAATCCAGGGCCTTACATAAAAAAAATTCTCAACATAAGCTGGTTTTGCAGTTAAAACTGTGTAAAGCAAAAAGCTTCAAATTCATTACTTGACCAGTAAACACCCTATGTGCTTGCAAGATGATAAAAGAAAGCTTAAAAACTTACTTGGGTTTGGAGCTACCTCAGCAGCTGCATTTGCTTCTCTAGCTTTCGTCTCCAAATTAACCAATTCTGCCTGAAGTTTCACAATCTCACGATTCAAGTGATCGATAGTCTTCTCCATACCGCGTTCATGGTGAAGGTTACTAGCTCGTGTCTTCTTCTCAAGCTCAAGAGCAGCCCTGTTTCCAATTCCAAACCCCAAACAATCCATTACTACTCCAAAAACATCCAAAAAACCACCACCTCTAAAAACCATCATATGAGTATACACTACAAGATAACAAATCCAATGTTCCCAGTTCCAACAAAAACCAACAAAGAGAATTCAAAATTTCACCTTCCTTTACGAACTTCTCCTCTAAGAATCTCAATCTCCGCCTTAACCTCAATGGCTCGATCCGAATTCGGTTTCGCTTTAACCATCTCACCATCAAGCATAGCCAACTCCGTAGCTAACTCCTGTCTATCATTAGCTAACCTCTGTACATCAGACCTAACCTGACCAAGCTCAGCTCCAAGTCCATCAATCACACGAGCCTCCGCCTCCATCCTCAACGCATTCTGATAAACCTCTCGCACCTTAGCTTCTCCTTCCGCTTTAACTTTAGCAGCGGTTTCAAGTAACCGTTCGAGCTCACGCTTGGCTAAATTGAGCTGGTCTTTGAGTCCAATGTGTGCCACAGCTAATCGTTGGTTATCGTTGAGAAGAGATTGGATTTCACGGTGTTGAATTGCGATTCGATCCTCGAGGATTACAGATCGAGCTCGATTTCGATCGGATTCGATTAATTGAGATTCTACTAATCTTGAAGATGATGAAGTTGAAACTGCCGACGATGGAAGATAACGGTCTCGTCCGGCCATAGTTTCCGATCTCCGATTGTCTTCTCCGGTTTGCGAAAGTATCTTCCCTAATTGAATTATCAATTATCGTTCTTTGTCAAAAAAAAAAAGCCTTTGTATTATGAGTTCGTTGCTAAAGTAGGCGATATCATCGAAAGCTAAAGTGCGCAGTATGACAAAGAACACGTGTTATGATATGCTTGATTAAGCCCACTTGGCCCATACTAAGCCCAAACCGGAAGCCGTTAGTCCTATGTTTAACTGGAAAAAATATACGAAAAATGAATAGGTAAACAGCTACGCAAATTAAGTACAACTTTATGAGTTTTTTTTTCCGAGAAAAAACCCGAAAAAACCGCTATCTAATTTTTTTTTTGCCGTTTAATACGTGTAGTATTAAATTTGGAATAAAAATACCTCATTTAATTTCAGTTGCTTTTTAAAACCTTTGTTTTTTAAAAATTGGTAAAATCGTACCTCCGAGTTAACGACCGTTAACTTTGCTAACGGAAGCACTAACTGCGGTTAAAACTTAACCCATGGTTTTTAAGAGTATATATATACAATCTTTTTTCATATCTTTATGAATTTACTGACTTAGTCCAGTGGTTAAATACGAGTTAACTGTCCAATTGAGCCTGGGTTCGAATCCCCCTTCGTTTTCTAATTCTTTTCTTTAATTTTTTTTTTACTTCATCAAAGAGAAACGGAGGAAAACGGAGTCGCGGCGGCGTTGATCAATTGGTTTTTGATCTGAACCAATTGATCTGAGAATCTCCAAATTGGTTTTTGAATCCGTGGAGGTTATCGATAGAGGTGAACAGAGTCGCGGCGGCGTTTACACATGTGAATCCGATGGTGGAGAAGACGGAGTTCCAGAAAGCTCGAGCGATGGTGGATTGTTGACACGTGGCGTATAGTGAACCGATAGTTGTGGACCGATCCGGTTTAGTTTGTTGTAATCGTTGATGTCTTGAGAGAAGACGTTATTTTACCATTTGAAGTTATCAGCATCGTCATCAATGGTGGCGAAGTGGTAAAGACGTGTTTAGAATTGACAAAATTGCGAAGGATTGTGAAGTTCAAAAGGAGAGAGATGTAGAGTTGTGAGATAATTGGGAGCCATGAAGGAGAAGATCGGAGGAAATGGTGAGTGGTGACCATGTTTAGGGCGCCGGAGGAAAAAAAATTTAAAAAGTAAAAGGGGGGAATCAAACCTTAGTTCTGTAGGATAGTCTACCCATATTTAACCACTGAACTAAGTCAATAAATTCAAAAAGATATGAAAAGAGATTGTATATATATACTCTTAAACACCATGGGTTAAGTTTTAACCGCAGTTAGTGCTTCCGTTAGCAAAGTTAACGGTCGTTAACTCGGGGGTACGATTTTACCAATTTTAAAAAAACGAAGGTTTTAAAAAGCAACCGAAATTACCTGAAGTATTTTTATTCCAAATTTAATACTATACGTATTAAACGGCCAAAAAAAATTAGATGGCGGTTTTTTCAGGTTTTTTCCCTTTTTTTCTCATATGTTTAATTAGTTCCTTTCATATGTTTAATTAGATATTCCAAAATGATGCAAGCAGAACCGGAATCGCAATCTCTTGTATCGCTGGAAAAATTGTCAAAATATCTTGGACGAAAAAAGCGATTCCATGATACACATGTTTACCCCGCGATACAGGAGATTAAGATATCGGTTCCACTTGCATCATTTTGGAACATCTAGTAAACTTTTTATTTTTTTATATACAAAATATCTTGGACGAGAGAAGCGATTTTTGATTGGTGTGATTAGAAATATAGGATTCAAGTCAAAAAAAAAAAATTGACCCCCGACAATGTTGGAATTATGTTTTAAGATTGGTAAAATGTTGAAATTAGTGAATTGGAAAAAACATATCTCTTTAATCAAGCGGCTGAAATTAGGTTTAGTAAATTGGTAAAAGATTAAATCTATTTATATGTTCTTTCTTGATGATTAAGGTTTTTGCTCATCGATTAAAAAATCATCTAATTTGTTCATTTTAAAAAAAAACAAAAAATAATCCCCAAAAAAACAAATTTTTTATTTTTTATTTGGACGTTTAATATCTAATGATTTTCGGTTGGATACTCATGTTAATCAAACTGTCAATTTAATAGATAAACAATTAAATATTGTTATTTTCATACTCCCGATCTTACAATAAAAAAAATTCTAATTTTACTCTTATCATCCAAATTAATTATTAATTTATGATGATATGCCATTAATTTTATTTAATTTAAATAAAAATACTTTTTATTAATATTTCGTTTCAATGTGGTCCCATAAATTTTTTTTAGTTTTTATTATAAATATTTTATTTCAAATTGAAAATAATATAAATTAGCAAAAAAATCGTAAAAAGTAAAAAAAAAAATTGCTATTTTTATGAATTGATGAATCCTGAGAAAAAAGATGAGGATTGAGATTTTGTCGAAAATATTATAATTTGTGCAGGATTCGGATTCGAATAGAAAATTTCTCACGGCGAAGAAAAAGTTCATTTAAAAGTAGTAAAAAGAAAGGAGGTGATTATTTTCAGCATTTAATTTAAAAGTATTTGTAATTATAAACAAAAAAAATGCCAAAATTGGACTAGTAAGAGAGTATTAGTAATATTTACACATTGGAAGCGTCTGGGAATCGGTCGATTCATATTTGGAAGCGTGGTGTTATGCACGGAAACGCAACCTCCTTGTTCTTCATGTTCAGTTGCCTTGGTTTTCTAATGGTGTGTGCGTGTGGTTCTTTGTCTCTTAGATGATAAATTATCACAAGCAAGAAGAAACATATAAAATGTGCATGATTCATCTGTTACCTCCGGTGGTTTCAATTTTCAGATCTGATATTTCTTAAGTTTCCGGTGTTTTCATCGGGAAAAAGAATCTTAACAATTGTGGGCCTTACATTTTCCATTCTTTTGGGCTTTTAACATTCATATCTGATATCCCTAATATATAGTAGCCCAATTTTGTTTATTTTTTCGTAAGCTTAAGTTTTTTTTTTTTGTTACGCAAGCAAGCTTATATATTTATGATATTTATATATATATATATATATATATATATATATATATATATTAACGCTTTCAATACGTACCCGCTTCCTATATTTTTCACAAAAATCACTTCTGCGATTCCAAATGCTTCCGCTTCCGCGTACCCGCTTCTGATTCCATGCAGCTTAGTTTAAAAGTAGTAAAGAGAAAGGAGGTGATTATTTTCAGCATTTAATTTAAAAGTATTTGTAATTATAAACAAAAAAAATGCCAAAATTGGACTAGTAAGAGAGTATTAGTAATATTTATTTATTTTTTTATGCCGATTTAGTATTTTATATATGTAATCTTGTACGAATCAATTAGTAAACGTAATCCGCTCAATTAAATCCAATTTCATCTTTTAACCACCAAATTGAGAGAAACCCTAATTCGATTTTTGCCGACTCGAATACCAAAATTCCGATCAAAAATTGTTCCGTCTCCGATCAGATCTTGTCGTGAAGATGAGGATTGAAGAAATAGATGATGGTGTCGCAGAAGAGTCGATAACGCTAGTTCATAAGGCCGAACAAGATCCGGCGGAGGGTCTTCGTCAAGATCCAGCGGAGGAAGATCCGGCGAACGCCCAGTACACCGCAAGGGTGAAAGAAAGATGCTCACTTTATGGCTGTAATCAAGTAATCTTGAGAGGAAGTTGGTATTGTTGCCCGAATCATGAAAATATATCTAAAGATTTTTTGGCTCTTAAGTCAGCCTATATAATCGTGGATGGGTTCTTTGGTACGAACATTACTAAGAATCAGGAGAAGAATCAGTGCAACAGTGGGGACAGTGTTGGTCACACATAGAAGCAAAACGCATAGGCAAATTTTCCTAAATCTTGTGGAAGAAGAAATCAGAAAACAAAGAGTGATAAGGAAGGAAACAGAGGCTGATGTTGCACTATGGAAGGGGAGAAATGACTGTTACAGAAAGGTTTTCAACTCGAAAGAGACATGGTCGCAAATACGTGTTGCAAAACCTTTGATGGACGGTTACAAAGGCATTTGGTTCAGCTATGCTACTCCGAAATACTCTGTTTTGACTTGGTTAGTCATAAAAAACAGAGTAGCCACCGGGGAAAGGATAGCACAACGGAATACACAAGCGAGCACAAGCTGTATTTTCTGTCAACACGTAATGGAAACAAGAGACCACCTATTTTTTAAGTGTCCCTACTCATTGAAAGTGTGGAAGGATCTAATGCAAGGTTTCCTTCTCACAAAGTTCTCGGCGAATTGGAGGGAGATCTTTAAGATGCTCACTCATAAGGATTTGGACAAGACAAAGAACTTTATTTTAAGGTATGTGTTTCAAAATACGATTCACTCAATTTGGAGAGAAAGGAACAATAGAAGACATGGGGAAGAACCATCACCAAGTGAGAAGCTAACAAAAATAATAGATAAGAATATTCGAAATCGATTAAGCACAATTCGAAGTGAAGGGGAGCTGAAGTATGCAGGGGGAATGCAAGCTTGGTTTGCTTCAAAAACACAGTGAAGGATAATTTATCTCTTTTTTGTCTTTAAAAACAGTTTGCATTAAGTTGTATGCATGTTTATTTTTCTTTGAATATAATTTAACATTAATTCAAAAAAAAAAAAGAATCAGGAGAAGGATCACCGAAATGTTTTGGCTATACTGAAGAAGGCAGACCATGGAGTCATCAGCCAGGGAATTATTACGGTTGAAGACCCAGAGATTTTTAAGGTTGGTCCTTGGGAATGGGATTTTATTGACTCTAATTTCTTGCCTGGAGAAACTGATAGGTCATGGCTCTTTTTTCATAAAAAAACGAATCATGTGTTTGATGGATTTGATTCAACTATTACGTGCATGAGTATCAAACGGAGCAAGGGACTGTTAATGTTTCTTCAAAGGTTGCTTACCTGAGACTTGTTTATGCTAAGAACAAAGGACCAATGGAGGGTGTTGATGAGTGGCTGAAGGGATGGTCGTTGGCTGAATACACCTACAACAACAAGTCTCTGTTTTGCCTAAGTTCATCATCTGATCCGAAGTATCTACTCAGGACAAATAGGGTAACGGTAAACGAGCATAATGGTGGATTGAAGAAAGGTAATGAGGTCAAGAGAAAGGAGATAGCTGAGTCTTTCGCAGTGAAAGAGACAAAGAAAGGTAAGGAGGTGAAGAGAAAGGAGACGACTGAAGGTAAGGAGGTGAAGAGAAAGGTATTAAATCGCACAGTTTAATTAATATTTATTTTTTAAATATTATTATGACAAAGACGTAATAATCCAAATTTTTCATCCATATATAGGTGAGGATGGTCTGTCTGATATGTGTGCAACATTGGTACTCATATCAAAGAGACGAAAAAGGAAGCTTTAAGTAGGAATGACATTATAGACAAATATGAAAACTGGAGGCATGCAAAAGAAGAAAAGAAATATGGTTTATTGACCACTAGCCAAAACGTTCATGTGATCCTTCTTGGATTCTTGTTATTGTTTGTACCGAAGAATCCATCTACGATGATGTAGGCCAACTTAAGATCCAATAGATCTTGAGACATCTTTTCGTGAGTAGGACAACAATACCAACTTCTAATCTTACAAACAACGTGGTTACAACCATAAAGCGAGCAACGTTCTTTGATCCTTGCGGCGTACTAGGCGTTGAGTTGGAGATTCTCATTTTTGTTTCTCGGTATGTTCACCGGATCTTCAGGAAAACCTTTCGCCGGATCTCCACATTTCTTTAGATATTCTGACTTCCATGGTGCTAGGATCAAGTAGAGCAGCTTGAATTACTACCTTCATCTATATCAAAAGGATCAAGGCACTGTGAGCATCTCTTCAAGAATAGCCTATTTAAGAAACGATGAGGCAGATCTTTTATGGATTCTTGGATTGAAGGATAGAGTTTGGCAGAGTAAAACTACAAAGGGAAATACATTTACTGTCTCAATTAGAAAATGGCACACGCGTTGCGTGGGTTTAGTATTATATTATGTTTTACTTACTATTTTGTTTCATATTTTTAAATGTTTACATTTTTGCTTCTTTAATCGAAATTATAGTTTACAAATTTATGATAACGTTGTAAATGTGTTATCTACATATAAACTTGTATTATGCATGTTATTCAAAAAAATATTTACTTTTTAGTAAAGGGAATGAATCGACTAACGATGAGTTGACCTAGTGGATAAACTCAGTGATTACCAAAAACATAGGGATCTTTGTGGTTACGGGTGCGATTCGCGTTGGGAAGGGTCTATTCTCTTAAAGAAAGTAAAATTATATTACATGATCTAGGCCTCGTCATGAGGTTTCTGATAACTTTCTTCTGTTGAATTTTAAAACTAAAATAATTATAGTAGAATGAAATATCAACTTTTTAGGCAACATAAAAACAAAATATTAATAAAATTAATTTTATCTAAAATAATAAAAATAATGTCATGTTATCTAAAAGACGTTAACTCAGATGGTAAAAGTAAATTTGGAATTTTATTTTCTTGTGAGATCGTAAGTATGAAAATAACAATTTTTAATTGTTTGGTATTAAATTGCACAGTTTAATTAATATTTTTTTTTTTGGATTTTTCCTATTTTTAAACTAACACATCATTTATTATCTACCAAAACACAAATCAATCAATAATACTCCCTCTGTTTCACAAAGAGTGTCATTTTAGAGTTTTGCACACAGATTAAGAAAACATTAAATTTTTTATTTTTTCTAAACAAAAACATCATTAACTATATACCTAAACATAATCTGCCCAATAGTAAAACAATCTGCAGAATACTAATAGTCATAAAACATAAAAAATCATTAAATTTTGCATTGAAAACCTAAAACGACACTCTTTGTGAAACAAAAATAAAACCTTAAAACGACACTCTTTATGAAACGGAGGGAGTAAAACAATCTGGATAATATAAATCGTCAATTAATTAAAAATAATAATTAATTTTTCATTTAAAATTGAAAACATCATCTAGTTTAAAACAAAAAAATTCCTAAAATATCAAATAATAAAAATGGAGAGGGTATATATTAATACTATTACTAGTTCGTAAAATCAAAATAGCATAAATCAATTAGAAAATGGCTTTTCGCAGACAGCTTCGCCAAACCATACAAAATATTTTACCCTAATAAGAACCAGAGTAAATGAAAAGATTAGTTTTTGAATCACCAACTATTACTTTTAATTAGTAGTATTTTTTTTGGCTGATATAATTTTGACTGACAAAAAGTTAAAATCGATCATATAACTGAAATTGAGAACTAGAGTAAAAACTGTAAAATAAGAAGATGACAGAGGCGGCAAGAGCTAGAGTCCAAGTCTACGGATTAGCACGAAGCTCTGATGTTTCTCAGAATGCTTCTTTTTGTTTCTTACAGAATCTTACAGACTTATTAAATTCCGACATTAACAGAAACTCATTTTTCTTTCACTCATTCAACTAAACTAAACGTTAAAGCAAAACACACTTCAGGTCTTTTTAATTTTTTTTTTTCCCCACCTCTGCAATAAATTTTAACTGAACTCAGTCAAACATTGCTTCTTGTCTCCTCCCCCACCGTTTACAAAGATTTTTTTTTAAATAATTTGTTTTGTTTTGGTAAGAAAATAAAATAGAAACAAAAGAGCAAATACCGAGAACCGAATCTTCCATGTCATCTCTCAAAGCATTTAATGATATGCATCGAGTCTCACATGCTTATTTTTCTCCGAGGTGCTCAAAGATGTCTGTTCTCTCTTCTTAGTTTTTTCTCAATTAAAATTTTAATTAATTATGTAATTTAGAGAATTATTTAGTTCTTCTTTCTTATGAATGAATCTATAATACTATACATGAGCAAGAAGAATCACTTCCCAATGTGACTGAGTCTAATTCTAAAATATATCCCTCCATTAACACCTAAACTATTTATTCTTCATCTAGAGTGGTCCTATTAACTGAGTCGTTTTATTTACGATAATTCCTTTTAGTACTAATTAATTTTATAGGAGGGATTTTATGGTCGTAAGCTTAAATTATATTTCCACTCGGACTTTGAATAGTTACAATATTTGTGGGGTTTTTTTTTTCTGTTTAAACAAATGATAGGTTCTAACTTCGTAGACTTCAGTTTTCCAAAAAATAAGAAAATTTTCCTTGTATTTACTAATTCTAAATGAAAAATCAAAATAATATATGAGTCTTGACACTTCGAATCCTACCGTAAAAACATAGAATAAGGCTCTGATTAGTAACCGCATAATGACAGAATAAATTCGTTTAAAAAGTTCATCCAATAACGATGTTGGCAATCATATCGAAATTTGTCATTCAACAAACCAAAATTTCATCAAAAAAAATATTTTGATCATAAATTGTAGTTATTTTTTTATATAATCATTTATTTTATTCGTACTAAATCTAACATTTCAACCAAAAAAGGTGTAGTTGACTGTTGGTTTTGTAGCCTTAGTTAGGGGTTGATTGTGATTTAGTCACTTTGAACCACTTTTAGATTAGTTAAAATATGATGGCAAATCTTGATATGCATGTTATTTTTTTAATAGAAGTTGATATCAAATTGGAAGGGCAATAAGACAATTCTAGATAAATCTGATGCATCATACATTAATTGTGGGGGCCTAACACATCCAAGTTGATAATTTTTTTGTGAATATAACTACTCATTAATTAATATCTACATAAAATATATGAAAAACTATGCTATCAAGCGAATAAGTTTGTAGAGATTATTGTGGGCGATGGTCACAAACTAGTCAAATGGTTTTTTCATGCATGTCCCCGCTATTTTGGGGTTAAAAACATTCCTTAGATGCATCACATGAATTTGATATATTATTAAGAATCATAACCACTTTCTAACACTATCATTTCTAGGGTTATGGAGTATGTTTTTCTTGGTAGATGATATTTTTTATTTTAACTAAAAAGGTTTAAATTCTTGAACTATATTAAGGTAGTGGTCAATTCAGGTCAGACATCAGTTTTTGTTGGATGCACGTCTATTAGCCATTGCGGATTTTATAGTTATGTGACAACTACAATATTTTGAAATTAGTATAGGCTGATCATTTTTTTTAATGGAAAATGTAAAGAAGGTGTACATTTTTTTTTTGGTAGGGAAAGAAGGTGTACATTTACTAGTGAGATAAATTAGATATAGTATAAGTTAAATTAAATGAGGGATAAGAAAGAACCAAGGAAAGCTATAAGAGTAAAAGAGAGGAGTTTCACTTGGGAAAGAGTGGATTAAAAAGCTTGGACTCATGTGGAAATCATTTAATGTGATGGTTGAAAGTTCTTGAGGCTTTTATCAAAACAACATTTATTTTAAGAATCTCTTCAGACATTAATTAGGGTTTTCTTAAAAAAACACTCTAATTAGCTTTGTGTCGGATCTCGTTTTATGGGTCTTGCATTAACTTCGTCTGGATTTATGTTGTTATTTTAATTATATTCACACAATGAATTCTTAGTTAATCCTTCTCAAGATCAATAGTTCGAAAGTGATGCATGTATCTTCGTTCTCCTCATTAATTAAGTGTGAGTAATATTGTTGATGATTTATACTTTTATCAAATATATATATGCATGTCTACCATAATTTTTGATAAAAGGCTAGACATGCATATATTTGAGAATTTCAAACTTTTCTATGATTGACAAATCGTCATGTTGGTTAAGACTATATATCAAGTGTCATCTACTATTTTTCAAAAAAAAAAAATATCATTTCCTATATTTTCGTATTGGCCTATTGTACCCGTGTTAGTTGTGTTACGTACGTATACTTTGATTAATATGTGTTTTAGATTTACCCATTTATCGGAAACCAAATACAAGATATGTGAATTTTACTATGTATGATTTATAGTATAAAATATAAACAAGATCACTAGTTTCGGAGAAACAAAAAATCAATTCTAAGTCTTATAACATAATCACGTAAAAACAATTCAACTATATTGTTAAATAAAAATGTATTGTTTTTTTATAAGAAAATGGATACTGTAGTTTCTATTAGCTCTAACCAAAAAAAAAAAGGAACTTTCTTTTGTTGGAAAAATGAATAACATCAGCCGAATATATAGCGTTTTTACTCGAATTAAATTTTTTGATTAGGGTGAGTTTGATGCCCATTGTTTTCATGTATCGTTTTTATACATCGGAGAATAAAAAGATAAGTGAACAGATATTTTCACAATGATCTTAAAGGGCATATAACTACAAGGTTAAAATGCCGTTAAAAACAACAAGATTAAAATTGTAAAATAGTGATCAACACAGTATAATTTCTTATCTCTTTTTTTTCAAAGAGTAGTAATTTCTTATTTCTCTTGACAAAGATCGTTATGTTTTTGGTACGTAGATAGACAGAAGTCATATGGAGGCTTGGCAAGAAAATCGAAGAAACAGTACACAAATACTTGTTCTTCTTGGATTCAAAAAGGTTAGGTCTTTGAATACTGTGTAAAGAAACTACATCTACAGCTTTTGGACGTTAATTAGGTTATTAGGTTGTTCAAAACGATGTTCAACGTCTGTCTTGTTGTGGAATTTTTATGGATTAATTATTAGTCCATCATCTCCCATAATATTTATCACACCTCTAAACTTCACATCCATATTATTAACTATGTCATTTAAGTCCTTTGTATGTTTAAAGAAATTTAAATTTGTAGTTTACTCATGCTTTTCACAATATTTATGATCCCTCACTTATACATATATACTTAATTTGTGTATTTATGTGGAGATATTTAATCTTGTTTTCAAGCCAGTGATAAAAGCAAGACCACTTTTTGACTGCTATTGTGCAACAAAACCTATGTTTTACTAGAAATGTGTGAAACCACACTCATTCGTTAATGCTAAATAAACATTAATTTCATTTTGTGGTGCCAAGAAGAAACCATTAGTCTGATACAGTATTATCTTAAAATAAACAATTGAGGCGTTTACCATGGTTTTTTTGTCTTACTTTGGTTTTAGTTAAATAAGACAAAGTTTATCACCAAAGATGGAGTTCATGAATTTTTTTAAATATGGCTCTACGTAATCCGATAAAAACAAATGTTGCTTTTTACGCATCGAATTCGCTGACCTAAGATGCTTCGCAGAGATTCTGTCCCGATTTTTATATCTTCTTTAAATAGGGGAAGAAAATAATGATAATTATCCCAAGTTCTTAATTCAGTCCCTTGTTTATGAAAACTCGGGCCTCCCCAACATTATTATTCTCATAATCACTTTACAAAAGTTTAAAATAGTGAGTATTTATTAATTAATAGTATAAAGAGGGAGTGTGTGTGGAGGAGAGATTGGTTGAAGTTTTGATGTGAATGTCTTTCAAGGCAACAAACATTCACGTTGGAGGCCATTTCTAAAGGAGTCTCGGTCCTAATTAGGGTTTCACGTCATTCTCACTTCTATAGTGTATTATCCTAACATTACCCACTCTCTCTCTTATTTTTTTAATTTTCTTTTCATTCTTATTTTTTAATTGCCTAACCAACTTTTTTGTTTCGTTTTTCATTTTGTGTTAGAATAAAGTCAAATATAGGCCGCTATATGTTTTTTTTTTCAAACCATGTAAATGGATAATATATATATATATATATATATATATATATTTATTTAGGGTGTAGAGAATGTGACAATTATTATTTTTATATAGTGTTGGATTTTTTATTTTTTACAAATATTTCTAACACATCGTTTCGAAAAGATGATTTTTTGTTTCTCCGTCAAATGTTACTTTCATATTACATCGATTATATATATATATATATTTATTTGGGCTATGATACTAAATAATAAATCATGATTTCTAACTTAAAATTATGTAATTAGTGGATTGGCACATGTGTTATATAATTAGTGGGCTATGATACTATATTTGTTGTCTCTCTTTTTCGATATAAAAATCCAAACAAGTCAGCATATTTTAGTGGTAAGTTAACACCTAATGTTTGGTATTAGTGAATTTTCGTTTAAGCTTTCTTGTCAGTGTTGTAAATTCGGGTCACATTTTGGATGAATTCTTGAAGCGTAAAGAAAGAAGAAGGACGAGATATTTGAGGTGAATATATATATACATATATATATATACCTTTTAGCCTCTATGGTGTCTTTATTAATTTTGGGAATAATAATTTATACCCAAAGACTCCTTTATTTAGGTTCCAAAATCCGACATACTTAAAAATATATATATGAAACTTTTGTCATGATAACTCCAAAACTACGAAAGTTATTGTTGATGTTGGTTGATGATCTCAATGAATCGTTAGGAAGCTTGTTTAATTAACTCATGAATGAGCCGGTTCGGAGGTGATTATTTTTTTTGATAAAGATTCAGGTAATCTTAGTCAAGGACTCAAGGAGAATCACTATTTGTAACCAGCTGTTTTGGAGGTTTTTATTAATAATTAACCCCCCAAAAAAGGTGTTAAAGTTAGAACTAAACTTTTTGTTATGCTTTCTCACTTCCTTAAGCAAACGATTCTCAAATTTGTGAGACCATCAAATAAGTTCTTGTGTAACCTCTAACCATACACGATCATAATGAATTGTGAATGTTTCTTCTTGTTCTTCAAAAGTTTCTAATTACACAAATATCTTTCCTTGTAACCACCAATCTCACTCTCCTCGACTTTTGTAATTTTAAAAAGAGAGAAGATTAAGACATCGAGAGACTAGAATATATAAATAAAGAGAGGTTAGTAATGGTACGACTGTCGTGAGTGTGTAAAATTAAGAAGAGAAGAGTCAAAAGACAACGTGGGGAAACTTCTCATATTACATCGGACGCCAACCTATCACGCGCCTTTGCGGTGCTCACTTCTACATCTTCTTCTTCTCCTAACTTACTATTTTACCCTCAAATTCTCATGGTCAAAAACGTCATTACCAACGTCTTTTTTAGCCGTTAATGTGTTCATATCCATCTTAGAGTCCAAATTAAGGATCTATTATACACTGTTCTTTTGAACTATTTAAATTGCATAAGATTCAAACATGACTTAATTTAAAACGACACTTATTTTGAATAATTTTTTTCTAAAATGATACTTATTTTATAACGAAAAAGAATACTTATAACTTTGTGGCGAGAAGAACAAGAAAAACTAAGAATAGGTGTTTTCATATTTAAGTTAAATAGTAAATTAAACATTTAAAGTTAAGACATAATAAGAAAAGCCATTTAAAGTTGGAATTAAATGAACACATGTGAACACCAACCTCGCTCTCTATAGAAAGCCTTCAAAAACCTATTATAAATACACACCTCTCAAACTCTCTCCCTTTAACTCTTAAGTTTTTCTTTCTTCTTTCTCTGCTCTCAAAGTTCAAGAGAACTCTATCCTTATTAACTTGCAACGATAACTAAAACCGGTGTAATCGTGATATATATATAGCGGAAGATGGGCGGTCCGGGATCATCGCCATGTGCTTCGTGTAAGCTTCTTCGACGACGATGTGCAAAAGATTGCATCTTCGCACCTTATTTTCCTCCTGACGATCCTCACAAATTCGCCATTGTTCATAAGGTCTTCGGCGCCAGCAACGTTAGCAAAATGTTGCAGGTTCCATTTCCTTCTCATTGCTATATATTGTTTTTTCTCTATATATTATTTTTTTTCCATGATATTATGGTCCGTTGAAATTCCTTGCATAAGCTTCTTTATTTTATCCAACTCTCTTCCAAACAAAATATTCAATGTGTGTTTGGTCAAGTATCAAATCTTTAAACATGTTTATAGTATACCTATACACATTAAAAATAAGCATATTTCACTTTAACAACTCTTATTCACTTGTATATTATTCTGAATTGGTTAATTAATTATCTTTGATAAACTATATGGAAATATATGGATTAATAATCATAATTTGTGCTACAAAATATGATATATAAAAATATATTTACATGATTCGTTTAAATTGTTACAGGAGCTACCGGTTCATCAAAGAGCTGACGCGGTGAATAGTCTGGTTTTCGAAGCAAACGCACGAGTTAGAGATCCGGTATACGGATGCGTAGGAGCAATCTCCTACTTACAAAACCAAGTCTCGCAGCTTCAGATGCAACTAGCAGTGGCTCAAGCCGAGATTCTCTGCATTCAGATGCAAAATGAGCCAACCTTACAGTCTCATCATCAAGTTCTTGAACTAGACCAAGACCACAAGGCTCTCTTGCTAAACAACAACAACATCAATAACTGCAACACCAACAACAACAACAACAACAATAACAACTTGGGTTATGCCATGTCTTCTGGCCAGTTCAACTCTAACTTTGCATCTCCAAGTAGCATAATGCAAATGCAGATGCAAATGCAAATGCAAGACCCTCTTAAGCAAGAGTCTCTTTGGACTTAATGTAATAATAATAATAATAATTAATTTTCGACAAGTTTGCTACTTAGCTTGGTTATGTTGAAAAAGAGAATATGGGGACAGGTTTCGTGTAAGGGAAGTAGTATAAGTCAAAGCTTAAATGCATGCATGTGATGGTGATGAGATGTAGTTTAGAAGCTTTAGAACTAGAGATCTGTTTATTTTTTCCTTTTTTCTTTTCTCTTAATTTGGTTTCTCACTTCCATTTTTCTTTTACCATCGTTTGAACAGTGAAGATTAGATCTAATTCGATTCCAATTTTATTTTTAATATTAAGTTTCCAAGATATTGCTCTACCCACTACACACTTTTTCTCAAACAAACCGACACAAAACTTTGCCGCGTTCAAATTAAGAGAGAAATTTACATTGTCTTATGAATTAGTTTAAATTACTTAGACTCAAAAAAAGATATTTCTTTTTATTAAACTTATTTAATTTAGTCTTAGAAAACATGCAAAAGCAACTTTGCTTTTTCTGGAATCAATTATTTTACTATATACTAAAAATGTAGATTTTGTTTCTACTTGCGATAAACTGAAGTTGAAATCGAAGAAGAAAACTCAAGTTGCAATCTACATTTTTTTTATTTCAAAAAACAAATCTACATGATTCAACCTTTACAATTTGACTCACAATAGATATATTCGACCGACCTGATTTGATTAATCATAAGCTACACGTTAGAACACAAAGTCGCCTATACTGTTGCTTTTGTACTAATCCTTAAAAAATCATATGAATTTTAATTTATCAAATTAAGTTAGAAAAGAGGAGGTGGTGGTGTTGAATTTGATTATGTTATCTATTGATAGTGTTCATGTGATCAGTAGACGAAAGAAATTCAAAATATTGCCTCTCGACATGGGAAAGAATCTAATGACTAAAAATAAACGATCATGTTCTTTCAATTTTCATTATATATTATATTTTTAAATACCCTTAACTTGTTTTTTGACGATCGTACCAAGCCAGAGAAGTTATAACTGTCATATTCATATCATATATATATATATATGCTATATAATTATTGGGATAATAATTCTCTATCTTTAACTTTACGCGTAACAATTTTTTTAGTTAGGAATAAAAACTCTTAAAGTTTTTGGTGAAACTTTCTCCCTCTCAAAATTTTACAAGTTAATAAATTAGTAAGTTAGAACACGTAGACGTCCATGTGCTCCATGCACGTGTGTAAATATATTTTTTGGCCATGTGTGAACGAATTTTCTTATTTACCAAACCAAGTTAATTAGAAAAACCAGAAAGAATCTTAAGAGAAATAATATGATTATAATGGCAGAAAAGATTTACAAATACATCCAAAATTGTAGCTGCTTAATTATTTTATCTACACGGTACACCTCAACGAAATTTTCCGTTGATGGCTAACGAATTCAGGCTGTGAAGTTAAAAGAAAATAAACAAAATTATAGCTTCACATGAGCGATTACATGACAGAATTAAGCATGTAAATTAAATAGCGTGTTTTTTTTTTTCGGTAAACATGTTAAGAAAACTAAAAGACTTAAATAGCGTAGTTTGTAATTATATTAAAAAACCTAAAAACTTAATGTAAAAAACCTTATGGGACAAAATGTGGTAAAGCACCTAAACAATAAACTTAAAATTTCAAATTAAAACAAAATCTCAGCCATAATTATCTGACCAAGTGTTTTTTCAAAACAATAGACTGTAGACTCTTACATAGTAAAAACTAAATTTTAACTAATTCATCTTTAGTTATCACAACAAAAAAAAACTAATTCATCTTATCATGTGAACATGAATAGAAATAAAAATGGCCGGGATATGGAGGCCCATTACTCTAGTATTGGGCCTTAAAATATTTTTGTCCGAGAAAGAATAAATAAACAGTTATACCTTTGGATTTGGTGGCTTTAATTGTTATACTCGCCTAAAACAGGATGACTCCAATTTTTTTGGGGGGGTCAGAGTGTCTTAACTCTTTTCTACCAAGTACCAAGGTTTAAACTTGGATCAATGTTGCCACGTAGCCAAATCTCACTCCCACACAAAACAAAAATTGCCTGCCTTTATATGGAATGAAGAAAAATCGAATTTTGTAACTACTTTTGACTTTAAAAGCCACACGCCGTATACGGCACACCAAATGACCAAAAATTTTGACCACTTTTTCTTTAATGTCTGTCTTCTTAAAACTTAAAAGCTTGTGTCCCACTACTCACTCTCTTCTTCACCTCTTCAAGTCACAGTGACCAAAATCACACACTATGGATCCAAATGAATCTCCACCAATCCAATTTCGCCACGTGGTGGCCATGCCTTATCCAGGTCGAGGACACATCAACCCAATGATGAACCTCTGCAAACGCCTTGTCCGTCGATACCCTAACCTTCACGTCACCTTCGTAGTCACAGAAGAATGGCTCGGGTTTATTGGATCCAACCCGAAACCTGACCGGATCCATTTCGCAACTCTCCCTAATCTCATCCCCTCCGAGCTCGTCCGGGCCAAAGACTTCATAGGCTTCATTGATGCGGTCTACACAAGATTGGAAGAGCCGTTCGAGAAGCTTCTTGACGGCCTTAATTCGCCGCCTCCGAGTGCGATCATCGCCGACACTTACGTCATTTGGGCAGTGCGAGTCGGCAGAAGAAGGAATATTCCGGTGGTTTCTCTCTGGACCATGTCAGCCACAATTCTCTCTTTCTTCCTTCACTCTGATCTACTCATAAGTCATGGCCATGCTCTGTTCGAACCATCAGGTAAAACATCAGTGAATCAGCAAATTGTTCCTTTTTAAAAACTTAGTATTGATTCTTGTTGAATCTTGGTTTGTTTTAGAATCTAAAGAAGAAGAGGTTGTTGATTACGTCCCCGGTTTACCTCCGACTAAACTCCGAGATTTGCCTCCTATATTCGATGGTTACAGCCACCGAGTTTTCAAGACAGCCAAATTGTGTTTCGATGAGCTTCCGGGAGCTAAGTGCCTACTTTTCACCACTGCTTATGAGCTCGAACCCAAAGCCGTTGACGCTTTCAGCTCCAAGCTTGATATCCCGGTCTACGCTACTGGTCCTTTAATACCATTTGAAGAACTTTCTGTCCAAAATGATAACAAGGAACCTGATTACATCCGCTGGCTTGACGAGCAACCGGAAAGCTCTGTACTTTACATATCTCAGGGGAGTTTTCTCTCGGTTTCGGAAGCTCAGATGGAAGAAATAGTGAAAGGAGTAAGAGAAAGTGGAGTCCGGTTCCTTTGGGTGGCTCGTGGAGGCGAATCGAAGTTGAAGGAGACTTTAGAAGGTAGCTCGGGTGTTGTTGTGAGCTGGTGTGATCAGCTTCGTGTGCTCTGCCACGCGGCTGTAGGCGGGTTTTGGACACATTGCGGGTTTAACTCAACATTGGAAGGGATATATTCGGGAGTACCGATGCTGGCGTTTCCGTTGTTTTGGGATCAGATTTTGAATGCTAAGATGATTGTTGAGGACTGGAGAGTCGGAATGAGGATCGAGAGGGCGAAAAAGGCGGAGTTGTTGATAGGGAGAGAGGAGATTAAGGAAGTAGTGAAAAGGTTTATGGATAGAGAGAGTGAAGAAGGGAAAGAGATGAGAAGAAGAGCTTGTGACCTTAGTGAAATCAGTCGAGGAGCTGTTGCGAAAAGCGGTTCGTCTAATGTTAACATTGATGCTTTCGTTAGGCATGTTACCAATACAAATTAAGGCTCAATGAGGTTTTGTTGTTTCAATACAAATTCAGGCTCAATGACATGTTCACTAAATCATATGTATCTTTTGAACTACATATAAGAATGACTTGAAACCACCACCAAATTAAAGCTAATTAACTCAATTTCTTACCATATGTCAAAATTTATATGAATTCTAATTAGGCCAGGGCAAAATATTCGTTAAATCCGCTTCGACTCGGTATTCGTTTCGAAAAATTCGAATGTCCGTAAAATTTTGGAGCAAAGCAAATAGAAAAACCTAGTATTCGTGAAAACCGGAGCAAATAACAAATACTCCCTCCGTTTTAAGGTTATCTCACACAAATTAAGAAAAACATTAAATTTTCTATTTTATCTTTTATTAATATATTTTGCAAAAAAAATCATTGGCCGAAACATTAAAACAGTAGGGATAAAACTGGAATTTTTACCAAACATTTGCATCGAAAACCTAAAACGACAACTATTATGAAATAAAATTTTAACTCTAAAACGACAAGTAATACGAAACGGATGGAGTATTATTTTTTTTAAAGTCGGATATCCGCTTCGATCCGTATTTTTTGATATATATATATTTGTAATATATTTTTTTTACTTGTATTTGTAAAGTCAAATTTTTATCCTTCGGACCTGTGTTTGTGACACAATTTAATGGTTTTTATTAGTGAAGTGGAATTTATTAAAAAAAATCAATATCCTTTAAAAATAAGAAGTTGGAATCCTCCGACGATTTCTTTTTCCCAAATTTTATCTTTTTCTTCGTAGTTTTAACACGCGAGCGCTTAGCTTTTTAGAGTTTTAATAGGTGCAGAAGTATCGAACTGGATATCCGCAAATATCACAAAAAAATCCGGATATTCGATATTCCGAATATCTGGAAATTTTCGGATCAAAGCAAATCACAAAATCAAGTATTCGGTTGAAAGGAATCGAATAACGAATATCCCAAATTTTCCGGATATCCGCTTCGTGCCCAGACCTAATTCTAATGGTGGGAAGCTCCCCCTCCTACTTAATATTCAGATGCTTATGCATTATATGCTTCATCATTTTGCTTGCTTGTAATCTAAATGATGCTTTCTCTTTAATCAAACCCAAGACATCACAAAATACCTAAAACACAACAAAATCACATGAAGACTCAAAATATACAGGAAAAAAAAAGGAAAACAAAATTGAAGTAAGTATTTAAAAAAAAAAAAATTTAACGGGATTATATACCAAGGCTTTACTATTCACGAAATGATCATACATCTTAATTTTACAACTAGATTGTCTCTGTCAACTTTTCAACTAGATTATTTATTATTCTGCTGATTATACAGAATGATTTGCCATGTGTTTGTTTTCTTAAACAGTCTTGTTTCTTTGAAAAGTAACTCGACTTTGGAAGGGATATATTCGGGTGTACAGATGCTTACATTTCCCCTTTTTCGGGATCAGTTTCTGAATGCTAAGATGATTGTCGAGGAGTGGAGAGTTGGAATGAGGATCGAGAGCAAGAAGCAGATGGAGTTGTTGATAGTGAGTGATGAGATTAAGGAATTGGTAAAAAGGTTTATGGATGGAGAGAGTGAAGAAGGGAAAGAGATGAGAAGAAGAACTTGTGATCTCAGTGGGATATGTCGACGAGCGGTTGCGGAAACCGGTTCTTCTGATGCTAACATCGACGCTTTCCTTAAAGATATTACCAAGATCGTCTGAGTTCTATTGTTGTTAATGATCAAAGTCTATTAGTATTTGTATAAGTTTGTTAAAGATTCAAATTCTGTAGAGATTTGAGATTGTTTGTAAAACTCTTATTTATAAGTTCATTTGTTAGGTAGAGCTTAATTTCGTTTGTGCCTAATTTTTGTTTGACTTAGAAAATGAATTGTGAGGAGACAAATATAGAAAATAATGTATAAAATGAATTGATTTTTGTGTTAGAATAAGATATTACTATAGATTTTTATATATCTTGGATTCTCTGTTGAAATACTATTGTAAGTTGTAATCTATGTGACATTATGTTTGTTATCCTATACTACTATTTGGGAAGTACATCAATAAATTGTAATATTGAGAAGTGTAAGAAATTACATTAGATGCCAATGCAAATCTCTAATCATCAACATAATTAATCCACGTCACTAACATTATCCACTTCTTAATCACACGGGTCAATAAATCATCAAAGAGATTTTCAAAAATTACCTAAACAATATAATCAAATAATTTTATAATTGATTAATTATGAAGATTTCGTAAACAATAATAATGAATATTCATTCGAATAAAGTAAGTATCGAATGTTTACCTACACAATAACGCATATATATTAACATTTTTGAAGTACATTTTGAGGAATCGAATTTGATCGGTTTTTTTTCCTGATTTTGACCTATAAATCTTCAATCGGATCTTTCTTTAAATTTTGGCAAAACCAAAAACGAAATTAGTTCATAAAATCTAACAAATATATCTTTTCTCAACTAATTACTACACCCAAAATCTTTATTAATGGCATATTCTTTACGATTTTTATAGATAACGAAATCAAATATGATGATTTAATTTATTGCTAATATTATAAATTTGAGCTAATTTCCTAAAACTAAATATGATGATTTTTTTAGATGAATATGATTAAATTTCAGTATAGCTTATACCAAATTTACATGTGTTTTCATTCTATTTTTAGGTGAAGAGAGAATCTACATAAGTTCTGATAGTATAGACCCTTCAGACACAAGTTCTTCGAATGATGGCGCTTATTCCCCTGTTTTTGAACAATTTTAGAGTTTCTGAATTGTCAAACCATTGTTTGCGTCTGAAAGTTGGTTGTCTGGTCATGTTACTCAGAAACATAGATCCCAATAAAGGTTTATGCAATGGGACAAGATTACAGATCACTCAAATGGCAGAGAAAGTAATTGAAGCTAAAGTTATTATAGGTAATAGAATTGGTAAGATTGTTCTGATTCCTAGAATGCTCATCACACCATCTAATACCAGATTGCCTTTCAAAATGAGGCGTAGGAAATTTCCTCTATCTCTAGCTTTTGCTATGACCATAAACAAGAGTCAAGGACAGACACTAGAGTCTGTTAGAATTTATTTGCCTAGGCCTGTGTTTTCACATGGTCAACTATATTGGCAATCTCTCGAGTGACGTCAAAATCACGTATGAAGATTCTTGTATCCAACATTTTAATTGGTAAATAGGTTTATGGATAGAGAGAGTGAAGAAGGGAAAGAGATGAGAAGAAGAGCTTGTGACCTCACTGAAATCAGTCGAGGAGCTGTTGCGAAAAGCGGTTCGTCTAATGTTAACATCGATGCTTTCGTTAGGCATGTTACTAATACGAATTAAGGCTCAATGAGGTTTTGTTGTTTCAATATAACTTCAGGCTCAATGACATGTTCACTAAATCATATATATATATATATATATATATATATATATATATATATATATGCATATTGTATAAGAATGACTAGAAACAACCACCAAATTAAAGCTAACTCAATTTCTTACCATATGTCAAAATTTATATGAATTCTAATGGTGGGAAAGCTCCCCCTTCTACTTAATATTCAGATGCTTATGCATTATATGCTTCATCATTTTGCTTGCTTGTAATCTAAATGATGCTTTCTCTTTAATCAAACCCAAGACGTCACAAAATACCCAAAACACATCAAAATCACATGAAGACTCAAAAGATACAAGGAAAAAAAGGGAAAACAAAATTGAAGTAAATATTAAAAAAAAAAAAATTAACGGGATTATATACCAAGACTTATTTATTAATATTCACGAAATGATCATACATCTTATTTTTACAACTAGATTGTCTCTGTCAACTTTTCAACTAGATTATTATTCTGCTAATTATAAACAGAATGATTTGCCATGTGTTGTTTTCATAAACAGTCTGTTTCTTGGGATTATGTTTTGTTTCTTTAAAAAGTACACCGGTCACTTGATAATCAGCAAAAACAACTTGAAAAAGCAGTAGACACAATCATATAAAACCTTATGGCCTAAAACAATTTGATCACGTTTGTTATAAAAGTTGGCGTTGAAACCAAAACATATTCTCTGCAGCTTTCTCAGTCCTCAGTTCCTCACCCACAAGTCACAGTAACCAGAAGCACACATTTCACATCCTATGAATCCCATCAAACCTCCGCCACTCGGAGCCCGCCACGTGGTGGCCATGCCTTGGCCAGGAAGAGGCCACATCAACCCAATGTTGAACCTCTGCAAACGCCTCGTCCGGCGAGACCCAAACCTCATTGTCACATTCGTCGTCACCGAAGAATGGTTCGGTTTAATCGGGTCCGACCCGAAACCTAACCGGATCCACTTCGCCACTCTCCCCAACCTCATCCCTTCCGAGCTTGTCCGGGCCAACGACTTCATCGGCTTCGTCGACGCCGTCCTCACCAGATTAGAGCAGCCGTTCGAGCAGCTTCTTGACCGTCTAAACTCTCCGCCTCCCGCCGCAATCATCGCCGACACTTACATCATTTGGGCAGTGCGGGTCGGAACAAAAAGGAATATTCCGGTGGCTTCTTTCTGGACTACGTCGGCCACGATTCTGTCCCTCTTCATTCATACCGATCTTCTCGCAAGTCACGGTCATTTTCCGGTCGAACTTTCAGGTAGCAAAGTTCCCATTTTTGTTGATAAAAATCGTAAATTTCAATCCTTTTTACCATAATTCTTGATTCTTGAATCTGGGTTTGTTTCTAGAATCAAAACTAGAAGAAATCGTTGATTACATCCCCGGTTTATCTCCGACAAGACTCCGTGACTTGCAGATCTTTCACGGCTATAGTTACCAAGTCTTCAATATATTTAAAAAGTCTTTCGGTGAGCTCTCCAAAGCTAAGTATCTTCTCTTCCCTTCTGCTTATGAGCTTGAACCAAAAGCCATTGACTTTTTCACTTCCAAGTTTGACTTCCCGGTTTACTCCACCGGTCCGTTAATACCCTTTGAAGAACTATCCGTTGGAAACGAGGATATAGAACTTGATTACATTAAGTGGCTTGATGAGCAACCGGAAAGCTCTGTTCTTTACATATCTCAGGGGAGTTTTCTTTCGGTCTCTGATGCTC